CCTGCTGAAGTAGAAAATAAACATTTCCTAAAGAATACATAAGCACCATTACAGTCTTGAAAAGTACCTGATATAAAAGCAGCTATATTAATAACCATTAAGTCAATTAATAAGCTAATTTTGCCTCTGTTAATTTCCAACCTAGCAGGCTTAACCTTAAGTCTGAAAGTTGCCTAATTTTCTATTTGGACATATTGCAGGCATACAAAGCAACAAAATCATAAGAACTTGTTAATTAACAATGCTGATAAAGCATAAGCTCACAATGAATCAGCTTATCTTCCTCTTGCAGCATTCATGCTGCAGAGATAACAAAAATCAGTCAAATAAAACATTTTGCTCCAAAATTTATATGCATATACATACACATTTTAAAACCCTCTTCCTCTTATGAGGCACTAAGCACTTGTAACTCAACAAGAACAGAGAAAGCAGTGGTACTGCCGACGAAGCAGAACTGATTTTGGATGCACCTACTACACAAAGCATATCTCCAATTTTAATCTGCATCTTTAAGCACATATGTAATAATTGCTCACTAATGATGTATTTTAGCAACCACCATTCTTATACTGATCCCTGCATACTCATTCTTACAACTTAAGCACTAGTAAAGGAGCATAACTGTAAATATCAAGGAATAGCCATTCTTTACAGGTCTTTCATGAGCTTTCAAAAACCCTCACCAGTACTGCTGGATCTCAAACATTTTTTATTTTTTTTTTAATTAAAACAGTTTTTGTCTTGTAGTTGCAAAGCAAAGAGGTTTTGAATTTCATTTTATTCCATTTATTTTGAGAATGTGGCCACTCAGATCTGTGAAAGTGTCTTAAAATCAAAACAAAGAAAAGTCTCATTTTATTAACGGACCAGAAACAAAAAGCAAAGCATGGGACTGAGATCAGACTCATATCACAGAGAACATGGCCATCAGAAACAGCTATTAAATGTACTAATTACAGATTCAAAACATATGTTGGTCGATTTCTGTTTTCACTTTTCTGGGTGCATTATTTTTTATCCCATAGCAA